TATATATATATATATATATATATATATATATATATATATATATATATATATATATATATATATATATATATATATATATATATATATATATATATATATACATAAAGGATATATACATATATGCACCTTTATGGCAGTGAGATAGGAAATAAGCTCTGGCGTGCAAATTCTCTCTGTCAAATCGGTCCAGGGAGATGGTGGGATACTCCTTCATGCGGCCAGCAAACGAGCTCATGCTGATTGCACTGAGTTTGAGCCGATGAAACCCTCAAAACCCCCCTGAGAGCTGAGCACATCCCTGGCCTGCATCTGTCTTCCTCCTCCGGGTCCTGGCATCGCTTTGGTATGAAATCACGTGAGTCGGAAATAAACATCTGTAATTTGATAGCCTGAATCGTACAGCGACATCTATTGGACTCCAAAGCAATCATTATAACATTGCAAAAAGGCACAATAATCGGTATACTCTAAAATAGTACACTGAGACCAGTGTTGTTGTTTTTTTTGTTTGTTGTTGTTGCAATTTTTAGAGCAAAGTACATATAAGGGCAATAACATTTAAACTGAATAAAAACAAATACTTAAAATAAATAAATAAAAGTTTTTTTTGCAATTTTTAGAACAAAGAACATATAAAGGCAATAACATTTAAACTGATTAAAAGCAAATACTTAAAATAAATAAATAAAAACTAAATAAGAAAAGCAATAAAAAAAACACGTCTGTAAACAAGTACAAATAATTACAAATTATTCAAAGAATAGATTTAAGGCTTTAAAGTAATTTACTTTTTGTTTTTGTTTTGTTATTTCTTGTTTCTTTTAACGTATACAAGTAGTGACCTATTTCTATTCTGAAATGAGTCAAATTAGGCTTTTTCACTGCCCATTTACATTTGTGAATAAAGAATTTTCGGTAACACTTTACAATAAGGTTCATTAGTTAACATTAGTTAACTACTTTAGTTAACATGAACTAAGCATGAACAATACTTCTACAGCATTTATTAATCTTAGTTCATGTTAATTTCAACATTTACTACTACATTATTCAAATCAAAAGTTGTGCTTGTTAACGTTAGTTAATGCACTGTGAATTAACATGAACTAATTATGAACAACTGTATTTTCATTAACTAACCTTAACAAAGATTAATACATACTGTAATAAATGTATTGTTCATTGTTTGTTCATGTTAGTTAATACATTAACTAATGGAACCTTATTGTAAAGTGTTACCGAAGTAAATTCACAATATACCAAATCTTGAAGTCAACATAAAAAAATAAAACATCCTTTTCTTTGAGTTCAATATTAATACTTTGTTTAACAAAAAAACTAAACAAATCACACCAAAATAATTTTGTATAAATACAATCATAAAATAAATGAACAATACTCTCATTTTCCTCTTTACAGAAAACACACTTCAAGTCAATGTCTTTACAAAACTTTGCAATTACCTGTTTTACAGGATAAATACGATGAACGATCTTGTATGATACTTCTCTCATTTTATTTGTGATACAAAAACGTCTGGAGATCTTAAAGGTCTCTTTCCAGTTGAACACTGAGACCAGTGTTGCCAGCTAATCTTCAGGGGAAGTTGCTAAAGGAAGGTCGGTTTGCTGCTAAAAGTTGCTGAATGATGTTGTGATGACATTGTGTGATGACGCCATTACGTAATCACATGCAAAATGCTGTCAAATCTCAGCAAAAACATATATATATATATATTATATATGTTCATTTAGATTTGTTCGTAGCAATATAAATGCATAATAATAATATTAAAATATAAATAACTATTTTTAAATTCATTGAATTATACAATAATTTTTGAACAATTACAATTTATGTTTTATACTTTAAAGCAGTTTATTAGTAGTTAGTTAGTATGCTGCACTCTAAGAAAAGTAATAAAAAAATATATAATGCACAATCTACTGTGTTAATATGAAGGAATTTTCTGGATTGATTTTTCCACAGGTTTTTGTACCTGCATTTTTAATTACATATACATATATGCACCTTTATGGCAGTGAGATAGGAAATAAGCTCTGGCGTGCAAATTCTCTCTGTCAAATCGGTCCAGGGAGATGGTGGGATACTCCTTCATGCGGCCAGCAAACGAGCTCATGCTGATTGCACTGAGTTTGAGCCGATGAAACCCTCAAAACCCCCCTGAGAGCTGAGCACATCCCTGGCCTGCATCTGTCTTCCTCCTCCGGGTCCTGGCATCGCTTTGGTATGAAATCACGTGAGTCGGAAATAAACATCTGTAATTTGATAGCCTGAATCGTACAGCGAC